TTGATTGGTTTGAGTATTCAGCGAAAATAATGCATGGTCTCAGAAACTTCAAGGATCATTTTTATCATTCTTTTTGGGATAAATATCGAGGCCAAATTGTTTTGTTACATTTGCTAGTGCGAACTACTCATCTGGCATCCTTCATATCAACCTACTCAATCAGTTATTTTTCAGTATTTCATATTTAAAACGATTAGTGAATTCTCTCCGCTTACTTGTTCTGTGATCACTACCACACGGAAGCTGTTTACTATTATTATCTCCGTGGTGTTCATGAATCATCCTTTACTGGAGAGACAAAAATGGGCGACTTTCATCGTGTTCTCAGGACTCATCATGGATGCTGTCGACAGCAAACTCTCGAGAAAGAGGCCTCATCCTGGTTAAAGTTTTGGGTTCGAGCACTTTTGTGTTCTGTTTTTTGCATATATCCTATTTAATTAACTTTGTTATTAAAATTTCGTTCATACTTATCCGTAAGATATTTTTTATCAGGGACATTGTGTTAGGTGATAGTTTAGCATAAGACGATGTGATGTATTAAACGATCGTGGAGACTATTGCTGCTCCTCGATCGAGGTCAATTGGTCTTTCATACTAGCCGATCAAGGATTTTGTGCATGGTTTTTAATGATTGTACTAGTCCTTTTTAATAATTTTCGTTAAAATATGCTTGCAAGTCGTCAAAGTGTGATTTGTACTCTTCTGGATATTTTCTAATGCCAGAACAATCGTTCGTGAGACTTTTCAAATTGCGTTATTCACGGATAAATAATTAAAGTATTATTGAATCGCTTACTTACATATTTCGGGAAAGGGTGAGAGGCCCCCTCGAAAGAGGTAGGCGTTCTGCTCGTAATTCATAGCATCAAGTCAATTCCAAATATTTGATTGTACTTCAAGAAGTTGTAGTGACGGCTTGTTCCAGCTTCAACTCGACTGAACTCTAACGTTATTTCCTACAGGCATTATTCCTTACTTTTAAAAGTTTTTTTTTTGAGCTTTGAGGAATTCTCACTCCAATATTCTACCGCGAGAGAGTTGTGCCCTTGAAGAGTTGTGCCGGGGTTTACGTAAGACAGCTGCAACTATGACTGGCATCATTTTTCTACCATGATCTGACCACGGTTTGGTGGTGAAAATCTTCTATGGGTAATTTTAATCAAAGAATAAAGGGTTTGGCGTCAATAGGTCCCGTTTTTGGATCCGCCCCGGCATTCAACTTCCATGCTGAATCGTAGAGATGCATCGAATGTGTCTATGAGTTGTGGCTCAAATCGGGCTGGGACAGGGTACTGGCAAGTGGCGCACTATTACCCACGCATTCTCCTGCAATCAAATCCCGGCTCGAGACTAGCCCAAGGCATCCAGCGTCACCTACGCATTGAACTGCCAGTGCGTTTTCAAAAATGAGTCGAATTCGGGGTAAGCGGGTTGATCAATGCCGAGGGCAGCATCCTTTCTTTTCTTCACGGTTATTTTGATGAGCACTGTGCATCCACACAAATATCACCCTCTTTCTAATACATGTACAACAGCGTGTACAACTGAAGGGGATCTTCTCGCACCGAGATGTAGACGATCCGGCCGTTAACGACTTATAATATTTGTCCACTTATTTGAAGCATGACTCATCCGTCTACCGGGATCACGGGGTGTTTTGGTGTTTACCGTTTCATTCCTCGCCTCATTGTCAACAGTGTCACCTTTCATCTTCATGTGTTTTTCTATCGCTCAAAGAAATCGTTTCACCCTGGTCCCTATCTCTATCTCCCCATTAAGAAGTAGTCGCACAAACCATTCAAGAAGTAGTAGTTATGACCGTAACCCACGAATGAACTGGAGGGTTCTTGGATGGGCTGTGATTCATCCCAGGCTATCAATTGAGGTCTTTTAGAGGCTCTATCTACCAGTTTGTCAACTCAGACTGTAAGAAAGGATTTTGACCTTAATTGCATCCAGTATTACGGTAACCTGTCCATCAATAAGAAGACAACTTCGCATTGTGGGGACGTACTGGAATGCGTAATGGGCCCGCGTCCACGTATACAAGTAGTTCAACTGATTCCCAAGGACTAGCCCTTCGAATGGATTCGTTTACTAATCGGCTCCGAAGGTAAGGTACGCCTAATTTGTTTGAACAGGATCGATCTACCTGGTGACCGGCAGTGGTGGGTAATTTTTAGCCCTTATGCTAGGATCACTATGCCATCTCCAAAGGTTAGTGGACAGTCTATCCGAAACAAAATAACAAGTATATTACTGAGTCTATTGTTGTCTTGAACTCTTTACGAGGTTTGTAAGTACCTTTTATTAGGCTGACGTTCCGCGGAATCGCCTTCTTAAGAGCCTGAAAGGATATAACAATCTGTGACAATCCTATCGTCTCCACCAACCCACTAAAGCTCGAGCCCTTCAGGGCACGCAGGTGATCGAAAGGAGAACCGCTCACCAAAGCTTTCGACCAGAAGAATCGACAAGTATTTGATAGATGGAGAGGTCGATCAGTTTGCGCCATGCATCTGTTGATTACTCGATTGACTGGGCAGTCCTTCATCCACATTGACACGTATGGCTAATCGACCCCCAAATCAGCGCCTATTAGAGGCAAGCGTCATTTCACCGACTCCGTAGAAATAAAGAATGATTGGCTTCTGTCTAATTCGATTGTCCTGCAGAGCGATGCGGCACCCCTCTGGTCTAAGCTATCTACACCGCATATACATACGTGTATAAGTAGATATGTTGAAGGAGAAAAAAACTGACCCTCCATATGCGAACCTCGTAGAAGGTTCGTCCGGATGCCATCCGTATCTCGACCAAAATCTGTCTTGAGTAGAAAAAAGAAAACAAATACTAAGTTCGTCGGCTCCGCTATTGCTCGATGCGGCGCTGGCTCACTCAGAATTTTGACCTCTTCTTTCCGAGTTTTCTCCAACTTTCTTATTCGTTTCTATGTCTCAATAGGATCCGCGCTAGGACTGATTGAATAGCAGCGTGACGGGAAAACCACTGGCTCGCCGCTATAGCCCACATCGGCACAAGGCCGTGAAGCAATTGATTTCGGTGTAGTTTTCGTTTTAAATAGGAAGACACAACTAGACTGTACTTCTGGGCAGAAATGAAGAATCCTACGGGGTACGAGGTTAATTAATAGGGCACCAAAATTACGGTGAAGATGCAATGGGGTTTACAAATGATTATATATTGGTGAGATTTATAAGGCAGTTAAAGGTTATAGAAGCAGTACAGTCAAAAGGTTGAACCAAAGTCTCCCCCGTGCCCTTGTTAGGGGTAAACTGCGGACCAACGCTTGACCCCATAACACTTAAAAACGTTTCGCTGGTTTACCTGAGAAAGTGTCCTCAAAGCCATTGATAAGGTTGTTTCACAGCCTCCTTCTTGAGCCACGTTTTTGACTATGAACTTCTTTCTGTTTAGTACTTCCTCTTCTTTATTTTTTGCCCAACAGTGCAGTACTGGATCATGGCTTTATCACGATCTTACCTATTTAGTTTCCCGCGAGAGTTACGCCTTTTCAAAAAGCCACGCCCACCCACCGTAATCAACGGGTACTGTACCCCGTCGACTATTCAGCAACATTGAGCATTTGAGCATTCGAACTGCTGAACAATGAATTCTGTAGTAGGTCCGAATTGCGCTCAAACTGTGTCTTTGCTGAAGGACAGCAGGTTTTGGTGTTCGGTATACCAGTCACTGATCCAAGAAATTGAAGGAAGCACATTGAAGATTTTCATAGCAAAATGCGATTTTTTATGAGGTTCCCTAATAAGCAGAGCTCTTGAACAATTTACTTTCCCATTATTCAAATCTCCCTGACCCAAGAACCTCTTTGAGACGGTGAAATCCCATTACTCAGGACTCCCCAGCCCACGAGCCCTTCTTAGGCAGTGAAGACTGCATTGAAATTCAACCCATATATTTGTTGGTCCTATACTCCGTGTCCCTCTCGAATTAGACGTTTTTGTCAAATTTTGACTTCTGTGTTTAGTTCTGATCCATTCAGAATTCTGCCTTTTACATCTCTGATCCCAGAAAAACCGTGCCAAAACAACCTGAATTGATAAAGGTAATGAGAAGAACTTTGGTATAGCTTGACATGAATTCCCCTTAATTCTTTGAAAGTTGGTCGATTTTGTGGGACACCCGAATGGTTCAACATCGCGCGTAATTCACTTTCGGTTTGTTTCTACAGTGAGATTTTTGTGAGAACCACGGAAATACAGTCATCATTGGAAAACCACTCATCCGAAGATCTCCCAGGAGATCCGAGCCTTCTCGCCCTACGCTTATTCTTTATTCAGGTCCCAGCAATGGTTTAGGGTCCTTCTAACTACCGTGAAACCTGTGACTCTTTCTGGAATTAAAGTAAGTGCGCTCTACCGCTAACATTCGCCACGCGACCGTGCCCGTGCAGCTGCCGACCAGCTTGAAATCGCCGCGGCATCGGCGACTTCTATTGAATTCCGTGAGGGTCCCGCCAGTTCTGGCGCGACCGCGTCGCGTCCGCTGAGCATCGCTTACGTCATCATTTGCCGATGCACGGCAACGCGGTACGGGTGAGCGAGGCCGTTTGAATCTCGTTGGTCCCTCGCTTGTTTTAGTCCCCAAAGTCGTGTATTTTCGTACATTTTGTTCTAATGTTTACGTCCTTGTTCAGTTATGCTTTCTTATGTTTTTTTTCATTTTGAAAGCCAATAAGATTCACTTTTTTTTAAATTTGAGAGGTAAATGTTATAGACGAAGTGTTATCAACAGCATTTTCTCCTTTTAAATGATTCTATATACTTGTTTCCTTGCTTTGCTGTGATCAACCAGGTTTCCTTTGCAAACGTAAACGGCGTCGGCACTCGCTCAGTGAAGCCTTGGGTATATTGAGTAGATTCTCTGAATATCGTAATTTCAGTGCTTAATTTCTTCCCTTTTATTCTTTTTAAACTAACTTGTATGTGTTTTGGTTGATAAATTGAAATTCTATAACAAGCTAACGAAACAAAGTTTTGACCGTAGCCGAGGCAAGTCAAAACAAGCCCTTCAAATTCTGCTAGATAGGCTTTTTTAATTACAATATATTTATGCGTGGAGCAGTCATCAATAGCGATATGTTCATCATGTTCATCAATGAAGCAATTGAAGACCTATAAATAGCTCGGAACATTTTGGACAGTGAGGCATCTCACGATATTCAGAATGGGTAGTGCGATATTATCAACCATTAAACACCTAGATTTTGGTCTACTATTAATATTCTTCCATATTTACCTGAATGAGTTGCATTCTGTAATTCGTTTAGTTTTTTCAACTAGCAGTAGTCGTATGCCGGCCATAAACATTGTGAATCGAAGGTTTCTCACAGTTCTTTTTTCTTGGCTATCATTCCGTTTTGTTTAGGCGTTGTATTTCCAACCACTAAGTACTGACCTAATCATACCTTGTTCGGTAAATTGCGTCCTGATCAGCTCTTTCTTTGTGATTTTGCACAGGACCAATTCCGCTCGTAAAGCTTTTCTCGTTTAGTTTCGCTATTTTCCTTTTGACCTTAATTCATATTTTTTAAGCACTTCATTCCCTTCTTCGTCTCTTTGTAATGCCACTATTACGAGGAGTATCTCATAGTGGGGCAGTTGATGAGCCGTCAACGAGTAAAGAGGTGAGGTTGATTTCTGTTGTTCATAAATTTTGGCCATACTTCGCTCTTTTGAGCAGGTTATGTAGGCGTCCCGAAGAAAATTCCCTCACCGTTTTTCCTTTTCAATTGCGCGCTACATAAACCGGGCAGTGATTTGCAGTAGAAGTCCTTCCTGTATGTCGAATTTAAAAGTAAGGCTTTCAACTACGATTGTCAACCTTGCAGCACTTTGCTTGTTTGTGTTTGGTAGGTTTTTCCCCATAGAAATGTTGAGCATTGTTTTAGCGTTGAATTTTTTTTTTTGAAGAAAAACTAGTCTTCATAATTGGAACTGTGAGTTTGCGTTTGTTCTTTGGTTTATCAGTGCTGGCCAAACTCATCAGATCGTTTTTCCCTTCATAACTGAATTGAAAGCTGAAAACTTTTTAATCTTCGTATTTTTGAGTGTTCAAGGCACCCGTTAAACTTTTGCGTTTTTTATTCCAGAGTCGAGAGGAGAGAATCGCACGAGGAGATGAGAGTTACATCCAGTATATAATACGATTGTTACGGGCTAGAAGATTATGTAGAGATTCAATGTAAGAGCTTTCCATTTTTATACCCTCTGTCTGTCTGTCGTCTGTAGTCCTCAAAGTCATTTATCAAAACCGTCTGAGGATGTATATTCTGTTTTTCAATATTATAATTTCAGAGAGAAACGCCATAAAATGGGACCTGCTAGCGGTAGTAGTAAACCGAGGAATCTATCTGAAACGGAAAATTTATTAGCAGAAATTGAAGAGAAGTGCGTTAGAGTTACTGGAATTAGTTCTGTAGAACTACTTTTTTTTGTTGTTTTATTCACGAACGTAAGTTATGCCCTTATCGGGTTTATTTTCAGAGTGTCGGAGGATATCATGAAAGCGCAACTAAGTGGATCGCCACGACGCGCACTTACACCGCGAACTCGATCAAGTGGTTCGTTTTCAACGAATTCACTTTTTAAACATGCTTCCATTCAAGGAGGGCACTACTTTTGTTTTTATTTCTTTTCTGTTTCTGGTGTCAATGCTAGTGTCTGATCGCTGCTGCATAGAATCAGTGGTTTTGGCTGCATCCGTTTTTTTTTNTTTTTTTTTCAGATCAACCTCAGGCATCCCCGTCAGGAAGACTTTCCCCTATAGAAGTGAAAGTAGATGAAGAGGTGCGTTTCTAGCTCATTCGATTTTCAAGTGGTATATGTGGCATTACACCACATTTGATTTTCTTCCCATTGGGAAGTAATCTGTTTTATGTTTTTCAACGGTCTTGGTAGGAGTGTAGAGGTCTCTACGCTTTACAGTCAATATTTGCGCGCTGATGCGGTTGGTCTTTGAAAGTTATAATGATAATGTCTTATTGCGGTCTTTTTTTCGTTGTTCTGGCCACGTTTCTATTTTTCTTCCAAATTCAGCCTAGCTTGGAGCTTTCTGTAGAACAATTTTAAGCTGCTGTAATAGAAGCAACTCAGTTTGAGCGTGATACTGGGGTCGTTAATGGAATCTCATTTCGAAGAGATCGCCTGACACGTTAGCCCACAAACTCATTGTTTGACGAATGTTTCACAGCGATCTAATTCAAGGTTTATCTCGGAATGTATTCGCAGTATTGCTGCAAAAACGAGTGAATAAAATACTATTTTTTCTTCATATGTTATCTTACAGTAACACGAATATTTATTTTTTTCTACATCCTGCTTTTATTCAATGATCTCGTTTGTCTAGAGATCGGAATTCTATAAATTTGAAACGAACTTCTTTGTTTGGGGGAAAAATTAATTCGGTTTGAATGTTATAGCCGACAGCGCCGGCAGCTCCATCAAACTCCTTGCTATCTGTGAATACGCACGATTTAATCGGTGAACAGTCTATAAAACAGGTGTGTTGAAGCACTTGTATTGAACTGATTTGCCAATCTTTGACAACAGACTGTGCTCTTTTTGAGAAGTATTTCACGAAAATCTCACAGTAATTACATTTGTTCAATTATATTTTTGTGCTCATCCCTGCATCCTTCCTTCTGCGTGTTTTTTGCTGGGATTGGCTGTTCGATTGCCGGAGGTGTCAGGCTGTACTAAAGAACGAGTATGTAAACGGAGCTGTGAAATGTTCATTCGTGGGAAGAATCTGATACAGTTTTCGAAGCGAATATGCTGTTCAAAACGGACATTCTGTCGATTTTTTTTTNTTTTTTTTTCTGGCCTAAACATGCACATACATCAGCAGTAGTAGCAATATCGTAAACTTACCTATATTTTCCTTTTGAAGTTGGTTTACTGTTTTCCAGTGGTAAGGTCAAATTCTCCGTTCCAAACTAGATAAAGTCAGTGTCCATGATATGAGGAAGGCCTCGTCAGGTGAAGGTGAATAACAATGAGAACCGTTTACTCAGCTCAAGGTTGTATTACAATTCTCGCTGGGCTATAAAGCGTGTTACGTTCTCGCAAGATTTTCGTACAGAAGAATTTTTATGACTGGGTTGTTTCGTAAATTAAAGCCAGGCATGTCTTGCATTCTAATTTCACGAACTACCAATTCCAATTCGCCAATTTCTGTGTCAATAAGCACATTTTCCAGCGCATTACTTAACTTTCCTTTACTATGATAGTCTATTTGGCTGCAGGTTTGCTGTAATGTAGGATCTACATCTCCAATATAATTTTGTGACCGCGAAGGCTTTAGGTTCATATTTCTTTTACCTCAGGAAGGCTCGACTAAAGGTTCGATCAGAATTCCATAATAAATAGCAATGGGCAGGTGTACTGGCGGTAAGGTTGGACCTCCCACGCAATCCTTCACGTTTCTTAAAATGTGATCCGCTGTCGTTCCTAGAGCGATAGCTGTGCAAGGCTAAGTAACGAGGCTGAATCAGTGTTATGATCAACCTGGCATTTTCAACCTCATTCTTCTACGATTTCAAAGTTCTTTAACTCTAGGATTAATTCATGAGTTCTCGTAATCATTCCGAATAGCGTTCTTCTACTCCATCAATTTTCGAGTTGCTTTTTCAGGAAACCCAAATATTGCTGAGGGTCGCAGAGTTGAAGAGAAATGGGTTATGGAGTGCCTCCCGTCTCCCATTGTGTGTCGAACCTCCTAGGAATAAGACCCACTGGGATTACGTTCTGGAGGAAGTAAAATGGATGGCTACAGACTTTCGAATGGAACGGCAGTTCAAGCGCACAGTCGCTAGGAAGGTAAATTTGTATATTTCGTTCGTCATCGATATCTCTGGTTTTTGAAAGATTTGAGTTCCTTTTGGCTTAATTGATTACCTTCCATTGAATTCTGTTCACGTTTGTTGCACGTTGTGCATTGCTTGGGTCCTTTATGACATACTGCATGTCTTCGTTTTCAGATAGCGGCCGCCATTCAGAAGAAAAGAAAAGACGATGAACTCGAGCAAGAACGAGCACAACAGCGAGCTATTAGAGTAAGGGCTGACTCTGTTTTTAGCGATTCAAGTGCTTCAGTAGAAATATTGGTATTGATCAGGATGGCAAACGGGTCTGCGCATCAATTGCAAAAATGGTTCGCGAGTTTTGGATGACTGTAGACAAGGTCGTCGAACACCGAGCGCAGGTAATTTCGATAAAACAACTTTAATGTGCCAAATCGCGCTTTCCGTCAATTTTCTCTGAATTTCAGGAAATTCTAGAGGCAAAGAAACGAAAAGCTTTGGATGCTCACATGGCTTTCATCGTGGGAGAAGCGGATAAGCTGAGCTCAATAGTGCAAGAAGGCTTAACACAGGATAGAGCTTCTAAAACGCCGTCTGTCTATTCTCGGGATGAGGAAAATGGTGCGTATTTCTCATTTTCCGGCTTCCTATTCTTTATGGAAAACGGTTTCCAGTTCTTTGTTTCTGTTAAAGAAAGAAAAGCATAAAAAGGACATGTATTAAGATGACGATTTCTCTGCGAGCGAATCCGAGTCAGATGATGAGGTTACCATTGAACGAGAGGAGGCGGCAATGCAAGAAGGTGATATCGAAGACGTGAAAGAGGAAGTTTCCGCTTTAAGCAAAGATGCTGATCAGGACATGGACGATTTTTTAGCATCAGTAAGTCCTATAACAACTGCCAAGAAATCTGTTTTTAGTTTGTTTATTGCTGCAGTAAGCCTTTCACTGCTTTTTCCAACTTTTATTTTTATTTCTTTATCAGCCTTCTAAATTGTAATTCATATCACATATCTATAATCGGTCATCTATCAACACAGCGGCGCTATACTCTTCAGTATCTTGTTGCAGTTACCGCCGGAATATCTTGCTTCGCTTGGGTTACAGTTACCAACAAACTCGACAGATTCTGTTGAATCACCAGCGGACTCTGAAGGGGAAGATGACAACAAAGCTGTGAATCAAAAAGAACGTGCAAGCAAAGCAGATAAGGTTCGTAAAATTGTCGTTGCTTTGCCCTTGTACTGCTTTCAGTTCGTTTTTGAAGACTCGAAGCGAAAACGACGACGAAATTGAAGAAGTGGCTGCGAAACGTCAAAAACTTGATGAAGCATCGGATGAGGACAATAACAGCGGTACAAAGGTCGCCAATGTAGTTGCACAAGTTGAGGGAACATCAAAGGCTGCCGATGAAGACGAAATGAGTGTCGACGAAGAGGATACTGATCGGTTACAAGACCAAAATGCGAGTTTGGTGAGTTCTTCAAACATTATTTGTTCTAATAAATTACCTTGTACCTTCGAGTATATTCATTATCCCTTCAATCCTTTTGTTCTTCTCAGGAGGGCAATGGCGATGGTCGTGGTATGTTGGAAAGTGTCGACTATTCGAAGCTGAACAGTGTGAATAGTGATGAACGCCAGCAAGAGTTGGCTAATATTGCGGAAGCAGCGTTGAAATTTCAGCCAAAGGGTTACACCTTAGAAACAACTCAGGTGCGTGGACTATTTCTAGGTTGCTCTCCACAAATGATTTCATCTTCTCGTAGAAGAGCATAGATATATGAATTTCCAGGTCAAAACTGCGGTGCCGTTCCTAATAAGGGGCACATTACGTGAATATCAGATGGTGGGATTGGATTGGCTAGTTACACTGTATGAGAAGAACCTGAATGGCATTCTTGCTGATGAAATGGGTAAAACATCTCTATAATTGGTGATTTGTTAGACTTCAGTCGGCCTGAATATATTGTTTTGCAGGTCTGGGAAAAACTATTCAAACAATTGCTTTGCTCGCTCACCTCGCCTGTTGCGAATCCATTTGGGGTCCACACCTTATAATTGTGCCAACATCTGTCATTCTAAACTGGGAAATGGAGCTGAAAAAGTGGTGCCCTGCCTTCAAAATATTGACGTATTTTGGTACCCAAAAGGATCGAGCTGAAAAGCGAAGGGTTCGTTCGACAGTGCTCACTCTTTACGTTTTGCAGTATTACTGTTTTGTTTAGCTAAGGCATGCAGCTTTTGGTACTTATACTGTTCTACGACTAAATCCTACACTTTTAGGGTTGGTCAAAACCGAATGCGTTTCATGTGTGCATTACATCTTATAAAACCGTGACTACTGATATTCGTGCATTCAAAATGAAGGTCGGTTTCTATTGCCATGTTTCTCTGCCAGAAAAAATGACATTTCTTCATTTGCAGGCGTGGCAGTATCTCATCCTGGATGAAGCACAGAACATCAAAAATTTCAAAAGTCAGCGTTGGCAAGCGCTACTTAATGTGAAGGCAAGAAGACGTCTACTCCTCACTGGTGAACTTAGAAATTCAATTGCTGTTTTGCCCAAGGGATTCTTAATCTATGTAATTAAAGGTACACCGCTGCAAAATTCTTTAATGGAACTTTGGTCCTTGATGCATTTTCTGATGCCAGCAATTTTTGCTAGCCATGACGATTTCAAGGATTGGTTCAGTAATCCCCTCACCGGAATGATGGACGGTAGTGTCGAGTTCAACGCTCCTCTTGTCCAGCAGTTACACAAGGTAA